GAGTGCTTGGAAGAATTCAAAATCAGTATTTTCTTATATAAAATCAGTATTCAAAATCAGAATTCACGGAAATTTCGTTTGATCTAAATTACTGATCAAAATACTTAAACTGAAATTGATAGTAGTATACTCATCAAATCCTTATAAGCCAATTTTAATCTTGTCCACTTTCGATATAGGACTAATCAGGAGTATTACAAGAAGAACACTTGAAAAAAAAAAAAAAAATTAGTAGAATATTTACATCATTTGACACTTCTCATTTATATGCACGAAACAAATCAAATTCGTCTTTATGATTCTTCTATTCGAAATTCTGTCTCTTTCTCAAATCTATTTATAGGAATCATTTCACATTTTTTATACTTAAATATCTAATCAAAATTTGAATATAATTATCCATGATAACATATTTAATGCCGAATTTAGGCGAATATATGAAGGCCTTTTGGGTAGATTTTTTTGGCATAAAAAGATTTGAGGGAAAAATTGTTTGATTCCTTTTGTTGTTGCTACTTATTCCCACCAAAATATTGCACAGGATAAATTGTAATTGATAGCAGATAAGATATGAGGATATCTCTATTTTATTGAGAAAAATCCTCTAATCTGTTGAGGGAAATTCTTCCTCCTAACTTATATAAATATGAGAGGTATATGAGTATACAATCAATAAAGCTTCTTCCTTCAAACTCCTTCAATAATTCTTTATCTTTTATTCTTTCCAAAAGCAATAAACACATGTAGTTGTTCTTTCCAAATAAAAATAGAAGACACTGCAGTTGTATACGAGCCAATGTCAGAAAAATGGAGTTAAATCTAACATAATGCTGGAATTGTATGATACAAAGGTTTTTAACATTAAGCAGAGGATTGCTTTCAGCATTCCCCTAAAGCACAGTTTACAAGCAAAATATTGCTTTCATGCGAAGGTCACTGCGATTTCACTGGTGACTTCGATTGAACCCCGCCGTCTCTTTCACTTTGATTCGTCTCCGGTAAAGCATTCTGGAAGAGCATGTAAGATGGCAGCATATCAACATCACAACGTAGATAATTTGCATAACACCCTCTGTATCAGAACAGTACAACCCTGCGGGGGTAATCGAAATGGATGATAAAGAAACAAGTAGTAGCATGATGAAGTATAAAAATCAGGAAATTATGATCTATTTATTTTTCAAAAAATATATATCGGTTAAGTTTTCGAATATTCGATTTCGTGAGTCCGATATTTTGGGTATTGAATGTATTATCCGAGTTGACTTAATTATCTTAAAATTTTATGAAGATGACTCGAGATGGAATACTTATATTGACATCTTTTGATGCCAATACGAGTCACAAAATAAAGAAAAAAGCAATATAAATATAAAAACTATAAATATACTTAAAATGCATACCTTAATATCATTCAGAATATTTTTCTTTTAACTTTTAATGTCATTCAGGGAGACAAAGTCAACTATTCGTCATCTATCTCTCTTATATTGATTATTTAGATTATTTACGTAATAAATGAGATTTATCCTTGCTATACTTGAAATAACTTATTGACCCTTATAGATTTTAATTTAACATATATTTTTCTATAACTATTACTTAATAATTAATGCCATCTAATTATTATCATTATTAATTTATGTTAACAAAAGTATGTAATGTATAAGATATTAAAAATTAGCATTATTATTACACTAAGAAATTAGTTAATGTTAATAATAATAAGAGACATTGTCTTAAATTATCAACTTGAGTTATCTCGACATCCGAAAGCTTATTTTATTTAGAGAATATCATTTTATAGGATTGGTAAATTTTCATCATAGTATAAATAAATAATATTAGTATCGATTGCAATTCTATTTAATCAAAGCTTTAAGGAGATATAAACTAGCTTTAGTTTTTTTTTCTTTTTTTATGGATGTGGTAGGGTTTTGATTTAAATAAAATAAATATGATTTTGTTTTATTTTTTTAAGGAATATTTTTTTAATTAAATTTCAATCATTAAATTAAACAACATAAAAGATGCTTTAACTTTATTCCAAAATAAAATATATCAATTATAAAATAAATATAATTTTGCTTTGTTCTTTTTTAACTAAATTTTATTCATTAAATTACACAATATATAAGACGCATTAACTTTATTCCAAAATAAAATCTATCAATTGTATAATAATACACGTTATTATTTGTTCAACGTGATTTCAGCGGGAGGAATTCCATTCAACGCAATCCACATTCCTATGCGTCAATACGTGCAAAAGAAAAATAATATTAATCTTTTAAATAGATGGCAAAGTTCAACATGACTACGCATCAAACTAATCGACATCTCGTTGTCAATATCGTTGACCATAAACAAAATAATGTTTATGATCTGTATTGCGTATCTCAATATCGTTGACCATAAAAGAAAAGGATAGCAAAAGTGAATGAGTTGGTCCATCTTCACGATGGATTTGAAATCTTCAAAGGGGTAGCTTCCATGGACATGCATGCGTGTTGATCGACACCAAACACATCATTTCTTTTAGTCAAATCATATATATATATGATATAGATTTGAAACGTCTATTTCGCTCGACTCGATCCTTATAAATCGAGTGATGCACACGTGAGAGTTCCATATCGAGCCAACGTACAATAAGATCGATGGGTAAAAATTAGATCGTAAAATAGAAAGAGAAAACAAAAAGTTAGACCTTAATAACTATGACCTGATTGTCTTTTTATAGTTGGTCCCCCAAACTTACAACTGGTCAAGAAGTATATTTTGTAAAGTAGAGAAAATATTCTTGAAACATTTTATATTCAATAAATGCTAGGTTAGTGATCACAGTCAACAAACACATCAATGTGGACATGGAGTCTCGAGGTTGAGATGGTGTGTCATGTCGACGTGGCACCTCGGACTCGGGTGGACGATCGTTCCTTCCTTAACCATCCGAAACCGTATGAGACAACGCTGCATAGTACAGAGTCGCTTTGGAAAGCTTGGAACGACATCATACGATGTAGATCCGTGCTAGTCGATTAACACTCGCATGGAGATACAAGTCGATCGCTCGACGAGTCGACTATCATTATCAGATCGCATACGATCGACCCCCGCTCACAGATATAAAAGCCAACTCCTTCATCTGCACCGAGGGAGGAGAGAATTCCCTAAATTATACTCAATACTTACTTGACCTTCGAAAGTATCGAGTCGAGAAAATCCCCTCTTGACATCGATCTGTTTGCAGAACCCGACAACGACGAAGTGAACCACTCACTAATAAGGAGGACCGCATTTGACTCTTGCTAATAAGGAGGACCGCATTTTTGAGTCTTAATAAATCATCGATATCTATGTTGCTAAAGCAGATAAAAGTTTAACTATAGTCTAAATATGATACTGGATTTGACTACTAAATATGATTGATTCTTACGAATATATAAAGTTCGGAAGATATACTTTGCCCCTCTGACCATATTATGTTAAATGGTGTGATGACAACTTAATATACTATTGCAAGTATAAGTGGCTTAATATATATTTTTTATCAATGTAAATTCGATCAATTGATTTTGATCAATATCTATTGAATATGTATGTCATGTCAATTTTTGAAAGATAATATGATGAACAAATGAAATATTTTTCATCAAACTAATTATTTTGTTGTAACAAGTGAATATTCATTCGACTCTCGGTGGGATGAATGCACCTAAGATGGAATAAGTTAATAGTGTCTTATGCTCTTGGACTAATGCCAATTATAAGAAAGATACAAGATATAAATGAAATTATCTTTTGATTAGACATCACCAATACTAACACGCTTCGAACTTCATCAAATTTTGCTCTCTCTCTCTCTTCTCTCTCTCTCTTGTATTCTTCTTTTAGAAGAATCTTGTGGGTGATGTTAGGGTGGGGTATATGTGGTGAGCCATCATGTTCTTACAAGAACCACTAGTTTAGGTGGTGGAGATCGGTGGTTCGATGTCGCAAGTGCTTAAATGGCTTGGATACAAACTTACGAGGAAGAAGCGTCGTTGGACTACTTGACTGAATGGTTAATATTGCATCTTAATAGATCGACTCATCTTTCAAAATTGTCGAGTAACCTCACCTCAATGTCACCTCATCATTTGTACACGAGATTTTTACGAGCGATCGATTGATCTTAAACCGTTGTCGGATTTATGATTCGACGAATCGATGACGTAACTTACTAGTATGAACGTTCATCATTGATTAAGTGCATGCTTAATATGTGGATTATATCGTAAATGAGGTGTGAGAAAGAGGATTATTTAAATGTTTTAATTTAATTATGAGATGAGTTCGGACACCGCGGTGGTTCGACGCAGATGCGGTAAATTTTTGGGTTCCTTACCTCAGTTGTGTCGGCCATCCTAAAGCGACACGACACGACACGGCTCCACCGACCGTGTTGGCAACACGACATACGCTTCGCCCGAGTCCCCAGATCAATGACCCAAACGCGTACCCGACGGCATGGCCTCGTAATTATCGAACTATGAGCAACGGCTTAGCATTTGATTTGTGGTTCAGATCGTGTCGCGTCCTCTGTGGGATGTGGGCCCCATCCGCTTGGGTGGGTTCTAGAGGAGCCACGTAAGAGGGGTACGTCACGGGTGGTACGTCGAAAAGTATTGGTCGTTGTTGCCGCACCGGTGCAACCGTGTTTACCTCTCTCGCTACTCCTCGGTAACGTGCGCGGAGAACAACTCTGACCGCGCCTTTCTTTATCTACTCGATCGGACGCCACACGGTGACTTACCTGCCTTATGATTCGAGGAGAAGAAGCAAAATACGTGGAAAGAGCGAAGGATCGTAATGCCTCTCGCTCGGATGAGGGTAGGAAAAGTGAGTACGCTGCAAACCAAAAGTCTGACACTTTCGTTGATCGACGTTTCCCTATTCTCGTCGTTCTCTGCTGGGAGAGGAGTGGATCACTTCATCTTTCCATAAATAAACGGGCTTCCCTCTGTAAACGGGGAGTATAATTAAAGAAAAGCGCAACCAACCGCCCCATCGGCTCACCTTTTGTGGCTCCTCTTCCTTGACGTCCAAGAAAACGATGGAAGCCCTTCCGGCCATGGTGTTCGATGAATCCGAGTGGATCCTAGCCGACGCCGTCCTCGACGACGACACCCTTATCGCCTCCTCCAAGGGCATCGACGCCGACTGGGTCGTCACAGACGGCAACGAGGGCGCCGTCTCCGGCGTCTTCTTTCACCCCTCCGCTCCCGCCCGCTGCCGATTACGCCTCTGCTACGCCCCCTTCGGCGGCCTCCCACCCGCCCTTCCCGACCCCTCCCTCTCCTTCCTCCCCCCTGCCGCCGCCGCCCGCTCCTCCTCTTTCGGTCTCCTCCTCCTCCGCGGCCCCTGGTCTACCTACTACGTCTGCAACCCGGCCACCGCCGAGTGTCGCACCATCCCGCGCCCCCCGAAGCCCCACCCGTACGACCCCGCCGTCGCGCTCGTCGCCAGCCCGGTCGACCCCGCCCGTTTCCACCTCGTCTGCGCCCTCGACGCCCCCGGCGGCGGCTACCGCTTCGAGATCTTCTCTTCCGTCTCGGGCGCCTGGCGGCAGGCGTCCGCCGTGGCCGCTTCCGCAGATCCCATCGTCCCCGGCTCCGGTGTCTCAGCTGCCGGAGCGGCGTACTGGCGGACGTCCACCCCCGCGGTTCTCGCCTACGACCCGGAGGCCGACGAGGCAAGGGTGATCCTTCCGCCACCGAGGTGCGGCGACGCCAGCGAGCTGTGGCAGCTGGGAAAGGCCGGCGACGACGGGAGGTTGTGCTGCGCGTGCGTGACGGGATCTGCGGTCGTGGTCTACTGCCTGGGGCCTGCCGACGAATGGACCGTGCTCGGCTCGCTTCCCCTGGCAGTAGTCGGCGGAAGCGAGGCGGTGGAGTGGGACAACGGTGACCCGATCGCGTGCAAGGAGCCCCCGCGGCCGCTGCGGTTCGAGAGCACGAATCTTGAGGTGGTGCTGTGGGTGGACGGCCGCGTGCTGGCCGTGGACCTCGACAGCCGCCGGGTGAGGGAGGTCCGGTTCAATGGGCCGGCTCCGGGTCACGACGAAGACTACGTGTCTTACATCAGCACCGTTGCTCCCGTGGCTCCCGTGGCGTCCGGCTAACGGACGGTGACGCTTCCATCCCCCGTGAACATATGCACTACTTTTAATACTCGATATGACTATTGATGCCATGAATAATGTGACATTTGGGATACTCGTATTATGAAACACTCGCGTGTTGATCATTGCTCTAATCAATTGCTGTGACAAATAACATGATTCCTTCCGTCTTTTATAAATGTTTTTTCTTGGTTGGAGTGTTGTTTTCTTTGTCTATCGTGAAGATTGTTGGGTCCACATGATGGCAGCTTCCGCTTGTGTTTGAGTGCTCGGCTTCTTCTCTTTCGTGATAAAGAACCGACTTGGAATCTCTAATCTCGCTGATGAATCAGATTCTTGATGATGGGCTGATCCACGTGTTTGTACTCTTCTGCCCATTCCGTATAGGAAACGTCTTTTGCTCGGAGCATCGAATATAAATGGAATAAATAATTATGCTTATTATTTTTAAAAATTATATTAAAATCTTTATATTTACAAAAATAAAATATTTAATTTCGTACTCTAATAAAATTTATTTTTTTTAATTTTTAATTATGTAAAATTATCTTTGTATAGATATCTCAATATTTTTAATCAATTATGTAAAATTATCTTTCGATCGTAATATAATTTTTAAAAATATAAAAAATCAAAATATTAAAAATAATTAATTATAGAGAATAATATATAATTAGTTATCGTTCTTTTGTCGAAGCCTATTTACATAAATCACAATTTAATTTCTAATTTCAATTTTATGAGTTAAATATTAAATTTTATTTACACATACTATTAACTTTAATATTTAAAATATTGGTTGATGATCAAATTAATTTAACCTGTCTTGGAAAGAAAATTAGCTTTCAAATTAGGCCTCCCCGATGGGCTCTTAGTGTCAGGAGTCTCGAGTTGGACGAAGACATAAGACATAAAATTCCTATTCGAGATCCTAACTTAAGTGTTTTTTTGGACTAATGTTACATATGCACAAATAATAACTATCCCTTCGAGGATTTGTTTATAGAGGATTCAATTTAGGTAAATCATTTGTGTCAATTAGGATAAATTTTTTTAAGATGATACATAATCAAAAGGATATTTGTAGTTTTGATTTGGGGCCAAAGTGACAGTGAGATTGGCTCATTTTGTGGAGACGACTTATTAGAATCTCCCAATTCACTTGATAAATTCTCTCACCTTCTTCTTGCATATTTTAAATTTAATTTCTTCTCACATACATTTACTATAAAATATATTTACGCACAGTTACGATGTGAATTCGTTTTTTTTTCTTTTTTCTTTTGAGAAAATAAATTAGATTTAGAAGAAGGATAATAAAAAGGGAATGGAATGGTGCGCGACGGGACAAGCAGTAGAAGCCCGGACAAGCAGCGATGGAGGCGAAGGGCCGTGATGGCCCCCCAGCTTCGGCAAGCGTCGACGCGGCGGTGGCGGCGGCCGCAGCGGCGCCGTTACTCATGGCCGAAACCCTAGCTGAAGCTCCCCGGAGGAGAGCCAGCGGTTCTAAGAGGAAAGCCTCGGCCTCATCGTCCTCCACCCCCGTGAAGCGCCAGGCCAAGGAGAGAAACCTTCTCCACCACCTCTTCCCCGTCCATAACGGTCCCTGCACCCGAGCTCGGCAATCCCCCCACAAGCACGCGGCTGCCTCCCATAGGTCTGTGGAGCATGCGGCGGCCTCCGCGTGGGCGTCGGAGGCTAGAGGCACGGACGCTTCCGCCTCGGGAGGCCCGATCAAAGCGGAGGAAGAGGAGGAGGTCGAGGAGCCGCTCGTGGATGTGGAGTTTGAGGCCGTTCGATCTAGAGGTGTCGACGTTCATGCCGTCCCTACGGCTGCCGGTGAGCTCTCTGACCAAAATTGGGATCTTGGTGACAAGGAAACCTTCGTAATTGGTATTAGGTATTCTGTCCACTGCTAATTTTGTTTATTTTTCTTGCTTGTTTGAACTAGGGTTTCTTCTTTTTTCCCAATTTGAATTGTACTAGGTAGGAGAGAATGCTTCTTCTTTCAAAGCATGATCTTTGTATGCAGTTTAATTACGTCGAAGATGGTGGAGAACTAACTTGATTCATTAAGAACAGTATTTTATATTCGGGATCAAATCCTAATGGGGAACCGCTTTTTCTTAATGAACTGTTTGTATCAGGAAAGACTAGGCATTTTAGTGTATATGCGAAATGATTTCCATATCATCTGGTTCTTGTAGGCTGGTTCTCATGGAAAGTGATCCACCCCGTTGAGAAGCATATGCTGCCCTCATTTTTCAGTGGAAAGTCTGAGAACCGGACACCTGAAGTGTACATGGAAATTCGGAATTCTATCATTAAGAAATTTCATTCTGACCCACAGACACAGGTGGAACTCAAAGATTTCTCAGAGTTGTCTGTTGGAGATATGGATGCAAGACAAGAAATCTTGGAATTCTTGGACCATTGGGGTCTTATAAATTTCCATCCTTTTCCCCCGTCTGAGAACGAAGCAAGCAAATCTGATGCCGATGACAGAGATAAAACTTCAACTTTGGTCGATAAGATGTATCAGTTTGAAACAATTCAGTCATTTCCCCGTCTTGCTACGAAGAAAGAAGAGTCCTTGGTACCTGCGGTGCCCCCTTGCTTGCTTCCGGAGTCTGCCCTTCTTGATGATTTGATTAGGCCAGTTGGTCCTTCTGTTGAGTACCACTGCAACTCCTGCTCAGCTGATTGCTCTAGAAAGCGCTTCCATTGCCAAAAGCAGGTTAGTTGGTCTCCTACGCTGGTTAATATTGGCTATCAAGTGTGTATGCCACTTCAACAATGTCTGACAGTCTTTTCTTTTTGTGTCAATACACGGAGCCATGCAGTCCAAAATTATTTATATTACTCTCTCAAATTCTTAAATTGATGGCTGATGGCAATATCTTTGTTGTTCTTTTAACCCACCAAAGTGTATAGCTATTTTTGTTTATTCATATCCTTAAATTTTTCTCATCAAATTCAAAATCATGATTTTACTTTTTTTAGGATACATGATCTTAGTAAACGATAATGGTCAGGTTGTCTTTCTTGTCTATGGTAAATATTTTGTTGAGTTGCAGCAAACTAGGAAAGTAGACTTCCTAGTTACTTTTGTCCATCAATTCATTATTTTTATTGAGTTCTTCATTCAGAAACAAAAATTATTATAGCTTCTTATTGAAAAAGGTAAATGGATCATGGATTTGGAAGCAGAGGTTGTGTGAGTCTAACTTCCTAATGCTACTTAATTGAAGATATGTTATTTTGCATTACATGGTTATGATAAATAGTTTCACTATCATTATCAAGTGATTGTCCTACAAACTGAACTGCTGTATATATGAATATGTTCAGGATTATTTCTTGGTCAATATATGAAATGATGATTCAACTAGATGTAAGCAGAATGTTGCTAGACATTTCAATTTCAGAATAGTTTTACTCCTACATATTTTGGGTGCTAGGGATCTGAAATTTAATACCGTAAATTCCATATCTCAACTCTCTGCTGCGTTAGTATTAACAGTTATTCAGATTATAAGTTTTAGTTGAAACTTAAACTATCTTGCTCAACGAAGGACTGGATTTTGTTGATCTCTGGCTTTATTGTCTGATATTCTGCAAATAGTTGCGTCAGTACATCTATATTAGAGAAATGCTGAAAATTTATTATTTCTTTCACAGGCAGATTTTGATTTGTGCGCTGATTGCTACAACGATGGGAAGTTTGGATCAGGCATGTCACCAGCTGATTTTATTCTAATGGAATCTGCAGAGGGTCCTGGTTTAAGTGTTGGGAGTTGGACAGATCAGGAGACTTTGCTTCTACTAGAAGCATTAGAACTTTTTGGGGAGAATTGGAATGAGATTGCTGAACATGTTGCTACTAAAACCAAAGCCCAATGCATCTTACATTTTCTTCAAATGCCCATTGAGGATTCTTTTCTAGAAGGTGGTGATGATGATGATGATGTCAATGAGAGTAACCCAGGTAGCAAGGACCAAATTCTGTCGACTAAAGAATCAACAGCCACAAATACTTCTGAATCGGTGGAAGATGACAAGAAAGAAGCAAAGGAGGAAACCTCTCATACAAATGCTCCTGATGCTGAAGCAAAAAAATCTGAAAGTTCTGACATTGTAGATGAACCTATAACATCCAAAACAGATCGTTTGGTTAATAAGAATACTGCTGATGTTAATATTTGCCATGAAACTGGAGCCAGCTTTGCTATCGATGCACTGAAGGCTGCATTTCAGGCTGTAGGGTACTTTCCTGAACAAGGAGGATTGGGTTCATTTGCAGAAGCTGGAAACCCAGTCATGGCACTCGTAAGTTCAAGTGCATTTTAGCTGTGGGGCATAATGTAACCTGTTTTCTAGTGTTTTTTTGGATGTTGACCTTGAGCAGTATTCCCTTTGCAGGCTGTATTTTTGTCAGGTCTTGTTGAATCTGATGCTGTTATCACCTCTTGCCGCAGCTCCCTGAAAGCCATGTCAGAGGATTCACCTAGCATCCAGCTTGCTACCAGGCATTGTTTTCTTCTTGAAGATCCACCAATTGATAGGAAGGATCCACATCTCTCTGTGAGGTATTCAATCTGATCATATTTGAGAAAAGATTAATTTAACATGGTAATGGACGTTTGATTTGTTAAACAAAACTGCAGTGCTGTTGCTGAAACCAGCAATGAGGAGGCTAATAAGGATGGAAACAAAACACAAACTTTAGATGCCACTGACGAATCTAAGGAGAAGAATGAGATTTCTGCTTCTGCGGATAATGATGGGAACTCATCCAATTTGTTGCCTGATTTCTCATCAAAACAAATTGATGAAAAAGAAGTAAATGATGTGATTCCTTCGAAAGCAGTGCCAACCACTGTACAGGAATCAGTTGATCAGTCTTTGTCTGGGGACCAGTGTATGACTAGTAATGTGAAGGATGTAACTGATGCTTCTTCGCCTGTAGATCCTATGCAAAGCACTATGAAGGAAACTGAAAATTTAGCTTCTCAAGGTGAAGATTCAAAGAGTCAGGAGAAGGAAATTATTGGTTCTAAGTCAGTGGGGGAGAAACCTAATACCATGACAAATTCAGAGGATTTAATTTCAGCAGACAAGGTCCAACAACATACAGATATAGCTAAGATAAATACTAAAGTTGTTTTGGAAGAACAAGAGTGTGTGCAACTAGGTGCTTCAGCTAACGAAACCAAAGGAAAAGCAGGTTAGAAACAGATATTTCCTATGTTAGAATTTGTGGAATCACAAATTTTCAGTTAGTATTTGCTAATGCCAATTTCTTGTGTACTTAATTCAATGACTTTTCACTCAGTTTTAACTTTGATACATTGATGTAAAATGTCTGGCAGAGGTCTTGTTGATATTAATCAAACTATTTTTTTTCTTCTGTGTTCATCTTTTCATGCATGACCAGCGAGTTTTATACTTTTTTTTTTGTGTAAAATTACTTTACGAAGCATGGGTATAAGTTATGATTACATGATGCCAACATGTCATGTTGCAGATTTGCTGATATTTCAGTTCAAAACATAGGATATGATAGAGCATGGATAGGTGATTAAAATTTATTATTCTACAATATCATATATGACAGCTTAGCATTCAGACAAATTGTTCAAATATATAGGTACAATCGGTGATGAACTATATCAAACGACTTGTGTTCTTAATTTATTCATCTTGACTGTTTCTAACATGGTACTTCAAGAATGCATAGGATATGGTAGAAAATTATGATTAATGAACTAAGGTATTTTTTTAATTTCATTTGCTAAATATGATGATCATCCAAACACCATAAAACAATATATAAGGAAATTCCATGTTATCTATAGTCAGAGGACAACATCCAAGAAAAGCCAATATTACTCATGAAGCAACCACAGAGTATCCCCATACCCTAAGACCATCCAATCATTTTAATTTAATCAATTGGGTTTGTTCGAAAAACTATCTGACATCTTTCAGTGAAGCATCTTATGGATATTGGTTTTACACATAACTGATACAAATTAGGGCAAGCAATTTGAAGAGCTAGTGTTTCAGTATTGCTGAATGATTAGTTCTTTCAATTGAATATTGTTGACAAAGTATTCGCCAGCATCAGCACATGGCTGAAAACCAAGGTTGTGCCTGATGTGTTACTGGATCCAGGAAAAGAATGCTGCAGTTTTTCTTAGACCACTAGTCTTACGCTTTTGAACTTTTATATATTCGCTTTATCAATAATTCTAAAATAAGGTGCCTTTAATCGTGGCCTGTCTTACTTTTCTGCTCGAAATAATTAAAGATTTTTTACTTAGCCAGATTGATTGATTAACTCAGCTAACCACAAATTTAGTGAGATGATATTTTTTCCATGTATATTGCAGATGAGGGTGAGAGAACAGAGTCACACAGTGATGATGAGAAAAATTCTGACCCAACTGGAGTTGCTGATGATCATAATATAGACAGGTTGAAGCGTGCTGCGGTCACCGCACTCTCGGCTGCTGCTGTAAAGGCTAAGCTTCTCGCCAAGTTGGAAGAAAATGAAATTCTGAAACTTGTTTCGTTGGTTATTGAAAAGCAGGTACTTAAGAAAACAAAGGCCAATACCACCATATCTGTAATTTCTTTATTGTGTATCAATAAATTAATGGCATATTTGGCCTTGACTATCCTGCAGTTGCACAAGTTGGAGGCAAAGTTGGCATTTTTTGCTGATATTGATAGTGTCGTCTTGAGGATGAGAGAACAAACAGAAAAAGCAAGACAGAGACTAATGCTTGAACGCTCGCAAATAATTGCTGCTAGACTTGGTGTACCCACTTCCTCGCTCAGAGCCAACCCAGCTTCCTTACCAGCAAACAGATTAGCCATGGGGTATGGTGCCACTGGTATAAAACCGCCTAACATGGCATGGCAGAAGCCACCACCTGTAAGAAGGCCATGAAGATGGGAGTCTAGTTGCCTTTTCTTTTTCAGTCTCCGGTATGTTTCTTTTTCTCATTTTTATTTTCTTATAGAGTAAAAGACATCAGAAGCACACTTAAATGCTTTTGATTTGCTATTTCCCTGTTGCATTAGCACATATGCTCATCATGTCAAGTAGTTCTTTAGCTTTGTTAAATGCTTAAACAGTTTGCATTCCAGTTTTGACATGTTCCTTAATTATTCTTGAAGTTTCAGGTTTTGGCATCAATAGTTGTAGAATGGCCGATTGTTGCAGATGTTGAGCAAAGTTGGTTTTCTGAGCATATAATTCATGCAGATGTTTCTGATTCTATACCAACCAGGTTCATCTAATCAGTTGGTGTATTCACCTGAAGTAACGAAAAGCATTCAATTCTATCTGTAGTCTGATTGATCTTTACCTAGTAGCCACTTTGACAATGTTACTTGGATAAGTCTTCAAGAGAATGATTGCCGGTAGAAACCCCGATGGCCCAACTTTTCTTTGTTTGTAAATGCAATTTTCTAATGACTATTTACGGCGATGGAATTTACTTGATGGTGAAAAGAAACTCTTGCCATGAATTATACCAAATGATGCAGTCAATTGAAGAAAGGATCAGAAGTTTTCGTATTCTTGCTTAGAACTCTTTTCACTTATAGATATGCATGCAATCACTATCATACCGTGTTTCTCTTCACAAGAAAGCTAAAAGCTGACAGGTGTGGAGCAGATTGGAAATAATTTGTATTGGTCTAGCCGGCTTTTACTGGTGGTTTGCACTTCAATTAGAAGATTGGAAGTGTTAGAAAAAGGTTTCTGAGAATACGATTTAGGATAATGTGTAAAGAATTTGTTGGGATCATCAAGATTCAAGGTTTGTACCATCCACATGGAACTTAACTTGTTTCACTCCTTTTTGCTTGTCGATTTTTTTTTGGGATTTAGACTAATATTCTCTGAAGAGTACTTCCCAATCCAACAGGCACTTGCATATGAGCCATGACCGACGTTTGGCTGTGATCTGGTAAGTCTTATCAAGCCTCTCGTTCCGTTGCCAACTTTTAATCTCTTCGGTCGAACAACGAGGATGGCGGATAAAAATAGCAGCCCCGAACAAAAATCCACAGGGAAATGGAGCGGATGGTGGTTGGAGAAGGATGAAGCTGACGCCTGTCACCCCATCTCCTCCTCTTCCTCTTCCGACAACGCCTTCCCTCTCCTAACGAGAAGAAGAGTAGTCGTTCTTCAATTTTCGTGGCTATAATCCAATTCTTCTTTTAGCTGTCCACCTTCTCAGACCTGTTCATTGTTTTCGTGATCATTTGCTGGTCCTCAAGTAAGAAACCACGTTAAACATGTAGAATTCGAGATATGTGAAGATTTCGACGTTAATTTTCGTTAGATTTTTTTTTTCTCTGTGAAGAGAAAAAAAATTGTCTTTTTGTTCTCATGGCGTTCTGTAATCTGCAGGTTTGACGTAGACGGGACGGGCGATTACGAGGAGGGTGGAGTCTTCTGCAGCTCGCACTCCATCCTCGCGAAATGGCATCGTCCCCTGTGGCTGCTCCGCCACCCGACGCCTCGTCTACGCCCTCTCCTCCCGCCCCTGACGCGCCCCCTCCCTCCGACCCTTCGTCCTCAGCACCTCCGCCCACGTCATCCCCTCCGCCAGCTACGTCGTTACCACCGCCACCGGTCCAGTCTCCGCCTCCGTCATCGCTGCCGCCCCAATCTCCACCGCCGTCATTACCGCTGCCACAGTCTCCGCCTCCGTCACCGTCGTTGCCCCAGTCTCCGCCGCCGTCACCGCCTCCGTCACCGCCGTTGCCCCAGTCTCCGCCGCCGTCACCGCCTCCGTCACAGCCGCTGCTCCAGTCTCCGCCTCCGTTATCGCCACCTTCATCGACACCTCCCACGACCACCCCGAACGCGCCACCTCCTCGGAACTCTCCGCCTCCCCCCTCGTCCTCCTCTTCCCCAAAACCACCCTCCTCTACGTCGTCTCCACCTTCATCCACTCCACCGTCACTACCAAGCTCGTCCTCTTCTTCGCCTCCACCACCCAAGTCGAACGACGCGACGTCGCTACCGCTGCAGCCACCATCACCACCTCAGCCAATCTCACCGACGACCCCTTCTTCTTCAGCAGCACTGTTACCGCCACCCCCAAGAAGCCCCTCAAAGTCGGTGCCTTCGCACGGTGCAAGACCTTCGCCGAGCAAGGATTCCAGCACACCTTCGAAGAGTGATCACTCCGGCTTGAATCTGCCCCTCGTATTGGGGTTCACCGCAGGTGTCGGGATCTTCGTCGTGTTGATGATTATAGCACTGGTGCTGTACGCTAGGAACAAAAAGAAGCCGCATCAATACTATGATGCTGCAGGCTCACAAGGTAATCTCAAACTCACTTTGCTTCATGATGGCAATCCGTCGATCCTTTCTACAAACCTGTGATGCTTGTTCGATATGGCGTAGGTGGCTTCTACAATGCCGGATCGCTTCCGAACTGGCAAAATGGAGCCCAGAGGAAGGATCACAATGGCAACATCCCCCCACCTCCAGGAGTAGTAGTCCCACCTGGAGGTGGATGGCAGGCATCATCGATGATGTCCAACAGCGATATAAGCTCAGCGTACTCCGGCCCCCATGTTTCTTCGCCATCGACCCCTTCACCTAACATTTCCTTGGGCTTTAACAAGAACCACTTCAGCTACGAGGAGCTATCAGCAGCTACAAATGGATTCAGTCGAGATCACATCCTGGGGCAAGGTGGATTTGGTTGCGTGTACAAAGGTGTGCTCCCTAACGGGAAGGAGGTTGCCGTGAAGCAGCTCAAGTCGGGAAGTGGGCAAGGGGAGAGGGAGTTCCAAGCTGAGGTCGAAATCATCAGCAGAGTCCACCATCGCCACTTAGTATCTCTTGTTGGATACTGCATCGCTGGATCTCAGAGGATGCTTGTCTATGATTTTGTACGCAACAAGACCCTCGAGTTCCACCTTCATGGTAATGCCTGTTTCTGCTGGTCCTCATTTCTCATGAACAGATCAAATAAATCATCAGGAAGAACTCCTAAGAATCAAATCATATTTACTGTTTCATTGTGTTTTGAATTTGATCCAATGAATTGCTTTCTTCATTTGCAGGGAAAGGTCTTCCAACAATGGATTGGCCTACACGACTCAAGATCGCCATCGGATCAGCTAAAGGCCTTTCTTACTTGCATGAAGACTGTGAGTACAAACATGTTCTTCCTCTCACAAGAATTCATCATTTGTTCCTACTTCTGCATCTCAATGTGCAATCTTTGTGTAGGCCATCCTCGGATTATCCACCGTGACATAAAAACTGCAAACATTCTCCTGGATAATAATTTTGAGGCCATGGTAGGATGTCCTTCACAAACATTTTGCACTGTGAATGAACCAGAATTTGACCGTCGATTTCACTTCTTATTTAGGTTGCAGACTTTGGATTGGCCAAAATTTTTTCTGATACAAACACGCACGTCTCAACTAGAATCATGGGAACCATTGGGTAACATATTTCATGGACTAACTCTACTGCCTGTCTTTAGAAGATAGATAGATGTGATGTTCTTGAATTTGTGTAGGTACTTGGCTCCTGAGTATGCATCAACCGGGAAGCTAACCGAGAAATCCGATGTTTTCTCCTACGGTGTGATGCTTCTGGAGCTGATAACAGGACGGAGGCCTATCGACGATTCAGACACATTCATGGTGGATAGCTTGGTCGATTGGGTCAGTGTGCCACTTCAAACACCATCTTCTGTATCAAAGCGTTGGTTGGTTCTCAGATATATGCTTTGTCGGAACAGGCACGACCTCTCTTAGCCCAGGCATTGGCTGATGACAAATTTGATGAGCTTGCTGATCCGCGCTTGGAGAACAGCTATGACACTGTGGAAATGGTACGAATGGTGGCATGTGCTGCTGCTTGTGTTCGACATTCTGCCAAGGGGCGACCTATGATGAGCCAGGTAAAATGTGTTCGCATCTCCATCTTTCTTCCTCGCATTGTTTCCAGGCTCAACTGGGAACCAACGATTGATTAATCTGATACAGATCGTTCGAGCATTGGACGGGGATGTCTCACTAGAAATCCTGAACGAGGGGTCAAAGCGTGGACAGAGCACAACCTTCAGCTCCAGCTCAGACTACGACGCCAGCTTATACTCCTCCAACATGAAGCACTTCAGAACAGTTGCGCTCGAAAGCAACGATTACAGCAATGGGTACAGCGGAGCAACCAGTGAGTACGGGCTTAACCCATCGGAGACGAGCAGCTCTGGCGACGTAATCTCCCCGGACAGTCCAAAAAAGCACTCTTATCATCGTCTTTGAACACCAAGAGAACATTATAGAACAAGATCTACTAATGGAGAGACGAGTCTCTCTCATCAGTTGCGTCAGATGTATTATAGTCCTGTGTTGTTTAATCATTTGGTCAGTGTCTAACGATGTATCTATAATCTGATATGTGTTCTAATGCTGTTACTAGCAGCTTGATTTATTGGAGGACTAATTCTAACCTCTCCGGTTATCTATTTATTCGGATCGTGGACGAAGGAATCCCTCGTGGATTTCCACCTGGCTGTCATCCGACCCGTTAAGGCCAGTGAATCAAAAATATCGAATCCAATTTATCTAGTTTTCCGGATCAAGAACGAACGGAGCTGTCTTGGATCCGACCCGTTAACGAGGCTCATAAAAGCAATCGCCCCTCTCGCGCTCTCGCGCACCTGTCCGGAGCGCTCGTCGACGGAGCCATCGCTGCTGCTTCTGTCTCGGTTTCCTCCTCCTCTTCCTACTCCAAATCCCATCCTACTTGCCTCTCTCGGTTGGTCTTATTAAATCCCGCCACCTGGGATGATGGCTCGGCCCTACGTCGTGAAGAAGGACGACGATCATGACGATGAAGGTTCGTTTCTAACCCTACGATTCCTGTGCTTTTAGACCGATCTTTGCATTCCGATTGTTTCTGTAGGAGATCCCTATTTCGTTTTTCCGTCATTGTGCTCAAATTCCAGGTATTTTTTATTCTTTTCTTGGTTGTAGTATTGATGTATTGGAATGAGAGTTTTCGAGACAGATAGGCGCCGGTAGATGACGGATTGGTTTGTTGAATATTTCTTTTAATTTAATTCAATTTGGATCAAGAACTCGGTCTTCTTCGTGTTGAAGTGATAGAAATGTCTACCCTTTTGTTATTGCACGTAATGCAGCAAGTTTTGGGTATTCAGATTTAGAAGGAAAATATCCTGGAAAAGAGAATTTAATTTTTAGCTTAACTGTCTGGTTCTTGCAGCGGAGTACTCTCCATTTCTAGGTTTAGAGAAGGGCACAGTTCTCCAGGAGGCCAGAGTTTTCAATGACCCCCAACTTGATGCCAGGAGATGCGCTCAGGTTACTGAGAACAACCTAGATTTAGTGCTATGTCATAATTTAATTTTCATTAGTATTGTAATGTCACTAATTCGGTTGTTGTTTTATTTGGAAATTATAGGTTATAACAAAACTCCTATATTTGCTTAATCAAGGGGAAGCTTTTACAAAGGTTAGCCTGAGATCAGTGCTGTTTGTTTTATCTTCAATTTGCGCATTTGTCATATTTTACGTATCATGTTTTTCTTTTCATTTTATAGGTGGAGGCCACAGAAGTTTTCTTTGCTGTAACAAAATTATTCCAGTCCAAGGATACAACACTAAGGAGAATGGTTTATTTGATAATTAAAGAGCTTTCACCCTCCGCTGACGAGGTATAGATGCCAGTTTTCTCTAGCCAGAGTGTTTCAGATTCATATTAGTTTTTGCCTGGAACCTGAGTTCTTGAATTGCTTGTCATAGGTCATTATCGTCACAAGTTCTTTGATGAAAGATATGAATAGTAAGATTGACATGTATAGGGCCAATGCAATTCGTGTTCTTAGTAAAATTACTGATGGTACTCTTCTTATGCAAATTGAAAGATATTTGAAGCAAGCAATTGTTGACAAAAACCCTGTTGTTGCCAGCGCTGCACTTGTCAGTGGCATTCACTTACTGCAGGTACATACATCACTCTCAGTCATGTGGCAATGGTTTAGTATCTTATCTTATCTTATATCTTAATTTACACTTCAAATTCTAACAGACAAATCCAGAAATAGTTAAAAGATGGAGCAATGAGGTACAAGAAGGTGTTCAGTCCAGGGCTGCTCTTGTTCAATTTCATGCACTTGCTCTTCTTCACCAGGTGCATCATCATATCTTATGTTTGATTAATTATCTCTTAAAAATGAAACCTGGAAGTGTGAATTTGCTAACGCTGTAGGAGAACTTGAATGGCATGAAAAATGTTATCTCTGCATATTTGAGTTTGAATTATGCCCATTTCCATCACCTATTTTCAGAAGTGGAATATTCGTGCGCAAAATTATCTTGTTTTCATATCCTAGGATAGATATGACAATCATGGTTGGATTAATAGGCCTTGTTCAATTGTTAGCTTAGCACAAACCAGGGTCTGTCGTACCGAACCGTACCGTCCGGTACGTACCGGTCCGATAGGTTGTCGGTACGCGGACCTCCTGGGACCAGTCCGAGTGCACTGTAGCACTGTAGCAGTGCTACAGTACTCGGCACACCTAGGTGTACCGCTCGGTACACCGTACCATACCGGTACCGAGCCCAGGTCGAAATACCGGTATGGTACGGTATTACGAACCTTGGCACAAACTATAAGGAATATCGCCAGGAGGACCAATCAATTAAATGAAGGTGGAGAGATTTGTACATAGTTAATAAAGAGTATAAATAACACTCAACAGACATTTAAACATAATTTAGCCAGCCCAGCAAGAAAACATTTGTTTTTTCATATCATTATGTTGTTGAAAACCTAGAATTTTGTATTGATGATTGTTTTGTTTTACTTGCAGATAAGACAAAATGACCGCTTGGCTGTAAGCAAGCTTGTTACTAGCTTGACAAGAGGATCAGTTCGATCACCTTTAGCCCAGTGCCTTCTAATAAGATACACAAGCCAGGTACTTTTTGGATTGTGACAGTTTGAGCAAAGAAAATTACAAGAAATTAAACCCATCTTTTCAGGTAATTCATGAGTCAAGCATGAACTCACAAACAGGAGAGCGTCCGTTTTTTGATTACCTTGAATCCTGTCTGCGACATAAAGCAGAATTGGTCATCTTTGAAGCTGCAAGAGCAATTACAGAGCTGAGTAGCGTGACCAGTCGAGAGTTGTCACCTGCAATCACTGTTCTACAGTTATTTCTTAGTTCATCCAAGCCAATTCTTCGTTTTGCAGCTGTTCGAACTTTAAATAAGGTCGTTCATTATTTTGACATAGTAACCAATTAATCTTATTCTGTCATACCATACCCGATACAAGCTTTGCGAAGATCATCATCGTGGCTGTTTGTCTGCTAAATGTCTTAAAGCAAGACTTTAATTTCAGGATTACTGACTAACAATATCCTTTTTTTTTTCTTTTATTCATAACTATTACAAAGTGTAATTTGCATGCCCTGCAAAAGCTTATGTTATCTGAAAACTTTGGATAAAAAGAAAACAAATCTGGTATACCTTCAACTATGATATATATCTTATATGACAATCTAAAGCCCTTTTTTTTATCTTCCACTCCTGTGTTTTCACTTTTAGCTCTGGTTCTGACCACTTTAACTGAAGTGAAACAATGTTTTAGATTTCTAATTCTTAGGCATGCAATAGAGTGGAAGAACTTGATATAAGATCTCGGAGTACCGTAAAAATACATGGTTTGTGTTATTCTTTATTGGCTCTCTGACTATTTCATTTTTCATGTAATCCAAGCACATTTACTTCAGTTAACTGAAAAAAATGAGGATGACTCTGTGCACTAGACTCTCGCCAATGCAAGGTCAGGGACGGATTAATGCATGCAATATTTCCATTAGAAATTGAGAGACTATTTTCTTGAGAGACATACAATCGTAATTTTCAGAAATCATGGTGGTAAACTTCCATTAACATGTGGTACACCAAGACAATGTGCTATATAATATGATATTATCATCCTTCATGCATTTCTTGTAGTGGTCAATTACTCCTTTCTTTTTTCTCTATTATATTTCTAGTATCAATTATGTGTGAACGTAACTAGGTTGAGTACTTTCATATACTGTTTTTAAAAGCACTAGGCACTAGGCACCAAGGTCCCAAAACGAATGAGATGCTAGGTGCTCGCCTGAGTGAAGTGAGGCACTCTAGAATATTAAAATATAAAAAATATATGTGGAGGAAGGTGGGGGAAGGAGAATAGGAGTAACCGCCGGCTAGGCTATGGAAGAAGGTGGGGAAGGAGAAGGTGGTAGAGGAAGTTGTAGATGAAGGCAATAGTGGGGGAGGAAGCTACGAACGAAGGTGGTAACAGAGGAAGTTGCGGACGAAGCTGGCATCAGTGGAGATAGCTGCGGACAAAAGCATTGGTGACAGAGGAAGTTTTAGACAAAGGTGGCGGCGGCGGAGGGAGTTGTGGATGAAGGCAGCGATAGCCGACGTAGGGTTTCACTTCAAAGACAAGCTAGGGCTGAGTCGGGTGCAAGGGGCGGGTTTTGTGTTAGGGCACTTTGGTTGGTTAGATTGAACCAACTTGCTTATTTAATCGAACCAACCTGATCCATTCTTCACTCGGGTGCTCGCTAGAGGCGCGCGACACCTGGGCTCAACCGAGCGCCCGTGTGGTGCTTCATTGAAACGCCTTGCCCAGAGGTTGTGCGAGGCGCTCGAGCCTTACCTCACCTTGCCCGGGCACCTAGGCTAGTGCCCAAGCGCCTTTTAAAAACACTGCTTTCACATTCCCAAAATAGTTCAATGAGATATAGATGGATATTCTAGGAGTAACCTAAGTTGTGTTATGAGCTTTAATTATTCATATCTCATCATGGTTAATGATCATAAGTATTCCTCACAGGTTGCTATGACACATCCTTTGTCAGTTACAAGTTGCAATATTGATATGGAAAGCTTAATCTCAGACCAAAACAGGAGCATTGCTACTCTTGCTATTACTACACTACTTAAAACAGGCAACGAATCAAGTGTGGATCGCTTGATGAAACAAATAACCAATTTTATGTCAGATATTGCTGACGAGTTCAAGATTGTTGTTGTGGAAGCTATACGATCCTTGTGCTTGAAGTTCCCTCTCAAGTACCGGTCATTGTATGTGGAGTGTGACTGCATCAAGTTTTTATTTATGCAAAATTCTTATATAGGTGAATTTAAAATTTGATTTTTATGCAACTATCATCCAGGATGAATTTCTTAAGCAACATTCTTAGAGAAGAAGGGGGCTTCGAATACAAGAAAGCAATTGTTGATTCAATTGTCATCCTTATAAGAGATATACCAGATGCTAAAGAAAGTGGTTTATTTCACCTCTGTGAATTTATAGAGGATTGTGAATTCACCTATCTTTCTACTCAGGTAATTTTATGCGTTTTCTGTTTTAGTTTTTTGAATACTGAATCTTGATGAATTTGCCAAGTTAAGAAAATGATCCAACATTCTTAATTTATGTATTTCTCATGCTATAGAGGCAGTCGACATCAGATTTAAATTTTGATTCATTCTATGACTAGGAGCATGCATAGTTTTGAGCAGCGGCTAAAGCTATTATTTGTGTATTTTGGAACCTCTTGTATCTTGATCCTCACAATATTTTTCATATTTCACCTTCAGTTCTACATAGTTCATGAGCTGTAAATGAAAAGGTGAATGACTAGGTCTGTTTCAGTGATTGCAATGTTTGTTGCTTCATTTGTTTGAATCCAGTTACTCATAATTTATATTGATTTCGCTAGATACTTCACTTCATTGGAAATGAAGGGCCAAAGACTTCAGACCCCAGTAAATATATTCGATATATCTACAATCGCGTTATACTAGAAAATGCAACAGTTCGAGCTAGTGCTGTAAGTACCTTGGCAAAGTTTGGAGCCATGGTCGATTCCTTGAAGGTACTACATATTTGTAGTGGTCCTATAGGTATTTTCTTTGGTTGATAATTCATATCTCTTGTTCGTGCTGAATTTTGATGAATTACTTTTGCAGCCTCGTATACTTGTCCTGCTCAGACGCTGCCAGTTTGATATTGATGATGAGGTAATGAATACATGTTCTTAACATGATCATATATTTTGAGAATGCATTGTAGGTGTGTCTTCTATTGGGCATGTTGAATTTAAATCAGTAAAGTATCCTTGGTTCATTCTATCGTAATCTTTTAGCTTTCAATTTATTTATAGCTTTCTTCCTCCTGGCACCACAGTTGATTAGGGGTTTGAGTTTGTACCAACCTATGTTTCTAAATAATATCTGTTTGAGGAACAACCTTGTCTCCATTGGAGCAATGTACCTGACCATAATGTTTAGTTAGGATCATGTTAATGTTACACTGTCAGTTACATGTTGCAGGTCTGCAAGTGTCTTAAAGATTAAAGAGTAACCAAATTGTTCTTTCTTGTGCCCATGATTTGTCCCAGGTTCGGGACCGTGCAACACTTTATCTAGATACTCTTGGAGGTGATGCTTCAGTTGGTGAAACTGAAAAATATGTAAAAGACTTTCTTTTCGGTTCATTAGATGTGCCACTTGTCAACTTGGAGAAAAGCTTGCGAAGCTATGTATGTTCTTTATTGCCTAGGCTGGAGTCGTATGATTGTCTCTTTCCAGCTCTTCTCATATTTACTTTTACTGTGAATCAGGAGGCTTCAGACATGCCTTTTGACATTTATTCTGTACCAAAGGAAATTAAGTCACAGCCTCTTGCCGAGAAAAAGGCTCCTGGTAGAAAGCCTACTGGTTTAGGAGGTCCTCCTTGTGCACCTGTTTCAGCTGTTGATGCATATGAAAAGTTGCTTTCATTGATTCCTGAATTTTCCAGCTTTGGAAAACTCTTTAAGGTTCCTACATGATATGTATTATAGAAGACTAACATAATTTTTTATGTATTTTCTACTAGCTTATATTTGTCTATTTTTTGTCAGTCATCTACACCTGTGGAGTTGTCAGAAGCTGAAACCGAATATGCAGTTAATGTAGTTAAGCACATCTATGATGGGCACGTTGTATTTCAGTACAACTGCACAAATACCATACCAGAACAGCTTCTTGAAAATGTAATTGGCTATGTCTCAGTATGCTGATCATTTTGTATATTATTAAAATGCTTTGGAACATCACTTGCGTTGTCTCTGTTTCTTTTACGTTGCCAGGTTACTGTTTTTGTTGATGCTTCTGAAGCTGAGGATTTTTCTGAGGTTGCATCAAAGCCTTTGAGATCCTTACCTTATGATTCACCAGGACAGACTTTTGTGGCTTTTGAAAAGCCATATGGTCTTCCCGCTACTGGAAGATTTTCAAACTTGTTGAAGTTCTTTGTTAAAGAGGTATGATCATTTTGATGATTTGATTTGCTTGCATTTGATTTGTTGTCATGCTTGTCTCTTGTTTGATATTGAGGCAAGGGGATTTACGTGTCATTTTCTACTCCAGATTTATATAACAACAATTGTGATGCAGCAAACAAGATGTGTAAAATCTTATCCATTTTCTACTCCAGATTTATATAGCAACAATTGAGAATTATCAGTCATCCATTGGAAGTCCAAGCAATAATCGACATGGATGATGCAATATAATGATTAAAAATGTTGCAAAGAGTGCCTTTTTACGTGCGATTTATGTTCGACAAATTGGTAGAATGCATGAAATCAAGTGCATGAATGTTGTTGTGGGACATGGCATGTATCAAGGTTTGGTGAAAATAAAAAAGATGTATGTGTTTTTCGGGTTTCCTAACTTTTAGAAGATGAAGAAGGAAATAGATATCGGGATTTTAAGTTTCAAATTGTTAAAATAGTAAAAGGCAACTTTATTTGCCATACAGTTACAGACCCCTTGTACAATTTAAAGTACATTTTATCTTCTTATGAGGCATACAAAGCATGCCTTCTGTAGGAGTGCAATTTTACAGCTTTTATGTTTGTTGTTTTAACATCACAGCATGTGCAAAAATCCAACCGTTCTCTTGTTTGGCTGCAGGTTGATCCAGCCACAGTGGAGGCAGAAGAAGAAGGGGTTGAAGATGAATACCAGCTAGAAGATCTTGAAATTGTCCCAGTTGATTACATGCTGAAGGTTGGAGTCTCCAATTTCAAAAATGCTTGGGAAAGTATGGCCCCAGACAATGAGAGGGTCGATGAGTATGGGCTTGGTGCTAGGGAGAGCTTGGCAGAAGCTGTGTGTTCTGTCATAAACATTCTAGGCATGCAGCCTTGTGAGGTTAGTTGGTGTTTCAGCTTCTTGTATTCTAAATGATTGTTATGCCGGTATTTTTTTTGTATTCAGTTAAGAGTAGCTAGACAGTAGGCATTGTTTTTTCCTGGTAGCTTCTGTTGTCTAATATTGAGATCAAGCATTACAACACCGGTCATTTGGCTGTTGGCAGGGTACTGAGGTGGTGCCGAGCAATTCGAGGTCACATGCTTGCTTGTTGTCGGGAATATTCATCGGTAATGTGAAGGTGCTAGTCAGATTGTCATTCGGAGTCGATGAGTCTAAGCAGGTTGCCATGAAACTTGCAGTTAGATCCGAAGACCCAAACATCAGTGAGAGAATTCATGAAATCGTTGCTGAAGCCTAAATGCAAATGTTACTGGTCTCCAATTCTTTTTTTTCCCCCACAATGACACAGAATGAAGAGTATCTCCCTACATATTGCTCTTTTTGTTGCTCGGTCAGCGTTCTTTTGGAAGTCAATGCTGTAATCTTATGATCTCCAATCCTGATCATATGATTAAATCAACTAAGCTGGATCTTGCTGCTGGACCAGAATAGGCTTGGATGAGCAGTTGGTGATGGGTTACATTAGATCATGTCATGAATTTTTGATGTCAAACACTCCTGAAATGAGTGGTTTGTTCTCTCAGTTTTCAACTTGTAAATGTGAGAAGAAAGATTTGAAATGACTATTATGACCATGACGTGCGTAAATGTCAAAGAGGTTTTAAGATTTGCCATGCTGATATGTGCTCGCTGCAGGTGCTCTCGGCGTAGAAGATGCAGTACAGAAGCTTGGAAGGAAGGAGCATATGCAGTACAGCCTTTGCCACCAACCTTAGGTAATGAATTGAGTCCTACCATTGTATGTTAACTTGCAAGTTCCTCGGCCAACTTTAGATTACTTACTGTCTTCCATATAAATAAAATAAATAGCTAATGCTGACACATGACAAATCCTTGATGAGAACAAGCAGAAGCTTCGTTCACCGAGTGTCTCATAACCTTGTCGGGGTGGAACCACAAAACCGAAGACAAAAGCGTAAGCATGGATGGGTTTCTGCTGTAACGCGGCTAAAACCAGATCGAAATTAAATTTGATGGTTCATAGTGCAATCAATTAGATCATGTAAGGATCACATGAACGAAGACTTAGATCTGATACTTCAAAGTACGATCATAAACCAACGAATTTGAGATTAAAAGGCCAGATAATAATAATAAAAAATGATTCCATTGCCGGGATTTGAACCCGGGTCGCCTGGGTGAAAGCCAGGTATCCTAACCGGACTAGACGACAATGGAATGTGTTAGGATTTGAACGCAGATATTATTAATATATAAATTTTAGTGTGGTCACATACAAACAACTTTCGTGTCGAGTTGATTGCAGGATTTGATCACGAGGCCTACAAAAATAAAATTATGTTGTTGTGACCAACAAATTTCTCTATGATGTTTAATCTAGTACCGTTGAGAAGGGTAGTGCTGAGTTTTTAGTATTCAGATATTCAAGTGAGTCAACGTATCTAAGTTTCTTTTTATATGTATAGTTGTATGATGAGAAAATATCATTGACACTTTTATCAGTTCGACATAGTTTGGATATATATATATATAGGATTATTCGAGATGAAAATACCAAACTCTCGAGGTACCTCCTGCATGAAGATTGAGGTCGGGAAATCTCTATATGCATAGGGTTATTCGAGGTGAAAACACCAAGCTCCTGAAGTATCTCCTGCATGAAGATCGAGGTGGGAAAGATTTTTCGACCCGATCTAACTGACGCTCAAATTAATAGCCCGAAGCGAATGTGGATACGAGTAGTAAAAAAAAGTAAACCCCCCAACTCATCGTATTGAAAACAAACTTTATACATAATCACAAAGGGACATAATATTCTGTGAAATATTATATGGGGAGGTCGCCTCTAACTACCTCCAATAGTCTCTTCTTGGCCTTTTGGTCACTTGGGCGACAAAAGAGGAACAACCTTGGATTGCTTGCCTTGGACTTGGTTTGGACTCTTGTCCACATGGGTAGATGGGTGGAATGTGACATGGACTACATATGGCAATTACGTATCAGATGATGTTTTTTTTTTTGGTAAATTATGTATCAGATAATGATTAGTTGATACTGTATTTCTTATCATTTGTCTCTTATAAAGGCATGTTTCGAGACTCTTGTAAGAGGGGTTCAAAGCACACGAGTACATTCAGGATCTCCTCTCGTAGGTTGGGTTTTCTTGCACCTCGAACATATTTTGCCTTACGCCTCCATCGTGATGGGTCTCACTTCACGCTAATCGAATTTTCTAGACTCACGCATCGTGAGCATATTTTGACTTGCGTCACAGTTATAACAAATTTCTTCTCACATGGATTTTTTTAACTCACATACCTTAGAAACATTTTACCTTATAACTCCATCATGATAAATTTCTTATAAAGATTGAATTTTTTTAACTCATATGCCTCGGACATATTTTACTATATGCATTTGTCATGATAGATTTCTCCTTACGCGGGTCGGATTTTTCTAACTCATCTACCTTTAATATATTTTTCCAAACTCCTGATCTAATAACTTGCTTCCTAAATCATTCTCAAATAAGATCCGTATATTTTCCATGGTCAATGGTGGTGGCGGTGGTGGTGGTGGGTGACTCCAATTATGTTGAGCGCTCTGTTTGGACTTTCTTCTCTAGATGGCTTCCTTCGAAATGCGACAAGTAAAGGTCGCGTCGTTGCTCGTCTTTCCAAGAAGTGGAGAAAGAGAGGGTGATGTCGCTCGCTTGATAGGACCACCTTCACCTAAACTTTATGAAAAGATGTCCATGTCGATTAGGAATAGCATTAGAAGTTTACCTTCATAAAAACGTTCACATACGACACAATAGTGATAGCAAATTGGACAACCTAACCCAATCCATTCATCTGAGCTTTAGCCCAACCCAAGATGAATTGGGTTAAACAAACCATCAAGCCAAGATTGGATATATACACAGAGAGAGAGACAGAGAGAGAGAGAGAGGAAAGGGAGCAACAAAAGTCATTCCAAGTCAAAACTAGTCTGATCCCTACTCTTAGCTTATTGTGATCGGAGACAATTCTGGCCCCATTTGGTTCCCATCGGCGAATATAGAGACAAAAGATGCGTCAAAATTTGTTGACCTTTATTGCAGTGCTCGCCATCCTGTTGGATCCAATCCACGTACCGAACAAAATACGCTTTGCTGTAGCCATGTGAACTGCACAGTAAGCAACGATTACTTCTTGAGGAGGCGGAGCGGCGGAAGCTTTGTATTACCTCGGTAGATTTGCTTTCCTTTCTTCTTCTTTGCTTTAATGTGGGTGTTTGCGCTACGTTAGCAGCAGCGCCAGCGTCACGTACAACAAGAGGCGACACGCCCCCAAGGCCGTACGCGATCGGACGGCGTTGGGGATGTAGCACTGCGCCCCCGCCTGGGTCGGCCGGCCGTCTGCGCTCCCCTGCAGCGTCGCCCCCGACTCGCACCACCCCGCCGGCTGAGTCAACCCCGTCACCCCTGCAGGCGGTGGCCCTGCATCCGTCGACGTGCTCGCCTGTGTGGCGGAGAAACATCGATGAGTTGACCGTAGAAGCTTACGAGAAAAGAGAGTTCTTTGGTTACCGGCGCCGTGATCGGGCTGGAGCTCGAGGTGGACTTGGCGAGGCCGGCGTCGTAGTTCATGGTCTGGTCGGCGCGGTAGAGGCCGAAGGAGCGCTCCGAGGCAGGGCCGGGCTTGAGGTCCTCGTCGTAGAGCGCGAAGATGTACGTGTCCACCGACCGCCCGGGCATGAGCGGCGTCCCCACCAGTGACCGCAGGTGGGCCACCAGGTTCCCGTTGAAGGCCTTGGCGTTGTCCACCGAGGCACCCACCTCGTCCGGGTCCCCCTGGTACGGCCACCCCGTCTCCGCCACCACGATCTCCACCTCCGGGAACCCTAGCGCGTCGAGCGCCGACCGCACGGCGTCCACCTGCGCGTCGAACATGTTGGTGTACGTGAGCTTCGAACCCGCGTCGAGCCGGCCCGAGTTGGGCTGGAAGAGACAGAAGGCCAGCGTCTCCGGCCGCGGGTCGCTGCGGTAGGCGAAGAAGGGGTAGGGATTGATCATGAAGGGCGACCCGGTGTCGCGCAGGAACCCGAGAATCCCGGTGAGGTCGGCTGTGATGTCCGGGTGGAAGGCGCCCGAGGAGGGAGGGTCCGACTGGGACAGCACGGCCATGGTGTGGACGGTGGAGACCTTGACACCGGAGGCGGCCGCGGAGGCGGAAAGCGCGGAGCGGAGGTTCTGCATAGCGGGAAGGAGATTGGACGCGAGGGAGGAGTCACCCGAGTTGAGGGCCTCGTTGCCGACGGAGACGACGGAGATGGAGGAGGCGGGAGCATAGGGGAGGACATTAGCGGCGACCCAATTAGAGGCGGCGACGGGGTCGGAGGCGAGGGAGGCGATGTCGGAGTTGGAGACGCCGAGGACGAGGGAGATGTTAGTGCCGGCGAGGGACTGGATGACGGCTGGGTCGGCGCCGTAGAGTCGGAACTTCGAAATGGTGGTCGATTGCAGCAGGCTCACGGTCTCCGATGGCGGCGGCAGGTTGTCCGCCACCTGCCCGTAGTTCACCCCGATGAACGACTGCGACTCTGTAAAGACTCAGCGAGGAAATTATGACCTGTCTCCTTTAACTTTTTCTTTTTCTTTCAGGACTCGGAAAAGGAAAATTACTCATTTTCTTGAAAAGATGGAGAGATCGTTCGATATAAATTATGGGATTGATTGATGATGGCGGCATGTATCGAGCACAGTTGGAAAAATGGAAGAACCCAATTCGACGAGACGAAGAGATTGCAACAGTAACTCACGAAAGCATTCATCACCTTTATTATTCTCGAGAGAGAGAGAGAGAGAGAGAGAGAGAGAGAGAGAG